GTTCGTTGCCGTCGGTCGTATATTATATTAATAATGATAATAATAATGAAGATAATTTACGAGAGCGGCAGTGTTCCGTCGACAGCCCGTTGAGAAAAACTCCAAAACTCCACGGTATCTAAAGACCGAGAAAAAAACGAAAAACGTTTTAACGTTATTACTGTCGTTTCGAATACCGTCGGCGCGCGCGACACAAACGTTTCGGGATAGGGGAAAAAAATTGTTAAAAAATTATTAATACAAAAAAAAAAACAAACAAACAATCGCGTTATTAACGCGTGCGATTATTATTACAATCTTACGTTGTCGTCTTACACGCGGCCACTGCGGCGCGGCGGCAACGTCAGTCCGGATGTCTTTACGGCACGGCCGGCCGAGTACGAGAAACCGCGAAAATCTAATAGACCGTCGTGGTTTTTTACGGTTTGTTTTTTTTTTTTTTTCCCATTATATTCGTACGAGTATATCGAAATAATAATAACAATACGAGCGCGCGCTCGTCAAGGTTGTCGTGCGCATTTGCCGATTTTATTCATTAGACGTGTTTTTTTTTTTTTTTCGTGAACTCGTTCATATCTGAATACGATTTATTTATTCGTCGCTACGCAATTGTTATCATTGCAATACGAACGCGCGCGGATACAATCCGCTAATCACGTACGCGTATAGATAATCGTTTGTTATTGAAAAAAAAAAAGTCTCAAACGCACGAATTTCCGATGCGTATCTGTGTTTCAATATTATTGCGGTGCCAGGGACTCCCTGCGCGACGTTAACAATTTGCACGGCTCGCCGTGCGTTCGTAACGCACGGGTTATTTCGGACGAGACATCAACGACGACCGTAAGAACGGTAACGGTTATTGCCGGGCGACGGTTGTCGGTTATCGGGTGGTAATACCGTGGTAATCGGGCCGCGCGATTGTGAACCGGCACCCCGAAAACCGCGGTACAGCGTCCGGGGGATATTTTCGCCCGGAAAAAGAAGTCGCGTTTTTACATTTTTTTTTTTTCTCATTCCAAATCCAATTTAAACATTTCCGTTATCTACGGGATTGTAATTGTTCGGACGCGACGGTCGAAATTTCGGGCGCGGGGAAATCGACTGCAGTGCACTGCCCCCCGGGCGTCCGAGTTTTCGCTTTGAAAAACGTCGTTTCGGGTTATTATTAATCGACGGAGTCGATTCGAAAAGAGAATACATTATTATTATTATTATTATTATTTTTTTTTTTTTCATGAGGGAACCACGAGATTGGTTGTTCACTCGTTAAAATTCACACGAATACACAACGAAACGACCCGTCGCATTACTTCGTGTATTAATTCAATTTTTCTCCGGGTTGTCGTAGAATATTATTACGCGAGTACGCTGCGGAGCTTATAAAAAAAAAAAAAATGTATACATTTTTCACTCCGTAGATAATATAATTACGTAGTACGAAAAATGGTCGAATAGTGTTTTTATTTAAATTTTTATTAACAACATTAAGCAGCGTGGGATTCAATTTCCCATATGGTTATTTCGGTATGTATACATACGCACTACCTTTCACTTGTGTTTTTTCTCGCAGTGTGTTGCAGCAGATCTGTTGGCTTTCAATTTGTTTTGCTACAATCGGTCGGTTTTACTACAGTGTGTACGCAACTCGATTCGAAAATACGCCCCCGCAATCGCGCGTAGCATTTTTCGAAATATTTTTACTCGACACGCGGGGTTCTTATAATTTCCGGTATACGTGCACACATGTATATATATATATATATATGTATAATTATATAGTTGAACGTATTGGAAAACAGTTACAAACAACTAGACATATTGTAGAGTTTGCATAACTATTTTCCGTCCGTGATAATTTCCAAAGTATCAACGGGACTCGATTTTTCCGCTTCCGTTCTGCAAATACTCGACCGATTTACATAATGCACGCCGAGAAACGCTTTGTTTTTATAATATTACCGCTTTTCTGTTCGGAACGGCTGCGAACGCGAAAAATTAAAAATGTCATATTTAATATTTTGAAAACGGAAAAACGGCCACACAGAAAATCATCCCGGAGTATATAATCCGCGCGGATTTCGTATTCGAAAATTGGCTCGGGATTTTTAACAACAATAATAATATTATATATATAAAAAAAAAAACCACCCCGGAGAGAAGATTTAATCGCGGGGATGATGAATCCGCGTACAATTAATACGAGGAGAATTTTATTAATATTGCATATATATTTAATTTTTTTTCGAACGTACTCGTTTTTTCCATCCCCGAAAACACCCCGCGAACCGCCACGGGACGTACAACGCCAACCCACGCAGCCATTCGTGCGTAAAAAATAAATAATTTTATTTTTTATTTTAATCGAATTATTCCCTTAACCCGATAACTATTCGATTTTACTTTATTATCGCTCAAAAGGGATTATTATTCCATTTTTTTTAATGGGCGCAGATGAAGACGTGTGCGCGCTTCTTTATTTTCTTTTTTTTTCGTGTCTGCGCGCAACTCGTCTACCCCGGAAGTCTCGCGTCAAACTTGTAACGACGAGAGTGCTTTTTTTTTTTTGGTGATAATAACTGCACGTTACGTTATTTTCGATTTTTTTTTTTTTTGTTAAAAGCTTGAAAATATAATCGTAAATATCCGACATCTTCTCAGAACACTATTACGTTAGCCTTTTCTGTAAACGCGGTAAAATTGTCGGTGGTATTTTCGGTTCGGTATTCGGTTTTATGCGGGCAAAATCGTTTAGGCCGAATGGAAACGCTCGAAATTCAACGCGGGGTGTTCAAGTCGTACTCTGCAGCGGTCGAACGCGGAAAAAATCGATCGTAACGGAATATATGCAAACGGCGTTACAAACGTTTGAAGTTCGCACGTGGACGGAAACGGGACGCGTGCATTTGTGTAATCGAACTCTGCTCAGAATCGTATTTCGTCGGCGTTGATCACATATATTTACTGTAACGACTCTGTCGATTCCCTCCGCCGTCCCCGCAATACATTCCGTCTATATTTCTCGTTAAGTTCCGTTCCGACGTCGTTTCGTTGGTGTGAACCGCACATCATCGATCCCCCCCCCCGGACCCTTCTCCCCTCCCCACACCAGAACTGTTGTACTCCGCGCAACCGGTCCGCGTGCGCGAAATCTATTATATCGTTTTATTTTTTTTCCCATCATTGAATTCCTACCATCAAAACGCATTTATCCTAATGTCCGATATCTGTGCGCGTAATATACGTCGTATATTTTTATTTTTCCCCACCGTTACGGATAGATATATTGAAAAAAAAAATACACACACATGTATATGTATATATATTATTATTATTATTAAATATACATTTATTATGATAATATCGTACGTACACACACATACGTGTACACGTATACTTACAAATAAAATACGACGTGTGTGCGTGAATACGTATTATATACGTAATATATAATATTAGTTATGATATTGTGTACACACACCGTACAGCAACGGCAGCGGACGCTCGCGCGCTGCTTGAGTATTAGGTTTTTTTTTTCTACTTTTATTTTATTATTATTATTTATTTTTTTTTTCTTCCGGACCTTGTCATAACCGGCTCGCCGGTCATTATTCAGAGACGACGACGACGACGACGACGACGACGGTTCGCTTGTATAAATCACAATAATATACGTGTATGATAATACGAGCACGAGAATAACAGGTTTGCCGCTCGCGGTCGCTGGCGTGAACACGCGGCCGCGGCGGCGGCTGCACGCGCGCGACGGACCGACCGAATCCGCGGCGGCCGCTCCGATACGATCGCCGCGCGCGGAGAAAAAGCCGAAAAACAAACACGTCCGCGACGAAAAATAACCGAAGAAGTATGAAAAAAAAAAAAAAAATAAATAAAATTTATATTAATAAAAAACAAACGTACGCGGCGGCGTCCAGCTGAGCGGTGCCGGCGTGCGACTCGCGATATATTTTATCGGTTAATTCCCCTCGTCTCCCCTCGTCTCTATCCGGTGTTATATAAAAAAAAAAAAAGAAAAAAAAGCGCGTCCATGATATTTTATTAAGGATAATAATCGTCTGCCGAATCTCACGAAATTTCGGACTATTTTTTTTTTTTTATGCGTGGGTTAAAACCGCATCGTATACGTGTCGTCTACCGGTTGTCGCGTTGCCGCCATCGCCGTCGCCGTTCGTTATCCCCGATGCAACGTGCCTCCCTAACCCTTCCGCCTCTCCGGTCGCAATCGTAAATCTACTTTTTTTTTTCCCCCGCTCGATATTCGCAAAAATTCCGGAACAAAGAAAAAAACGCGTCGTCGCCCGCTTTGAATTATTATCATTTCACGACTTAGCGATAAATCGATTCGACTGTATATACGAAAAAGTTATGCACCCGCGTGTTTCCTAAAGAAAAAAAAAAACAAATAATAATAATAAAACGGCGCGGAATTTAGCCTCCCCTCGGGCTAATGGACTATTCGGTTTTTTTTTTTCTAATCATTTGTTTAAGTCTCTACCGAAATGTTTATAGATTATTATCATTTGCGAATTGTACGTTTGATCATATAGTTGTTGCGAATTTCCCCGTCTTGAACTATGATGAAGTCTCCCGTGTAGTTTTCAACTCTCAAACATCCTGATCCGCCCCGTCGTCCCGTCATTTTCTACGTCTCGCCCGAGGTCTTCAACTTCTCGGGGTTTCCATTACACCGCCGCCCAGACGTTTTCGCTTTTCCTCGTTGTTATACGTCACCTTACCGCCAATGTATCCTTTGTCGTTTATCGGAGTTTGTTGCCGGTACAAGTTTCACCGTATCGAATACGTTCCAACGTCATTTCCCGTCGCTTCATCGACAGTCTAAATCCACACAATATTTTGTCTCTTCTCCTTCCGTGATGTTTTCTCGAAAGTTCTCCCGTCGTGTACGTCATTTGGTTGACGCGTACCGTGTAAGCCCCCCCCCCCTACGAACGAGAGCCGAAATTAGATTTATTTTAAAAATGTCGTCGCGTACGGAAAATACCGCCGGAGGCCACGACGGTGAAAAACAAATTCGCCTTGACGGAAATCCGTCAGTCGTACGTATGCGAAAGCGCCTGGATGGGGCTCGAGGATGGGGTGTGGAGGAAAAGCCTGGAACGGGTCGGAAAATCAGCAGTCTGTTGTCAAAAGGGTTTTCAGTGTGTGTGTGTGTGTGTGTGTGTTGCGAAAAACTGACGGTGCAACAGTGCGGCGGCGGCATCGCGTCGTCGGCGGCCCGGTCATCAATCAACCGCCGCCGCCGCCGTCGCCGGGGCCGGAGCACATGTTGCGCTTCGTTCGCGCGCGCGGCCAATCCGAAGGGTTAATATCATCCCGCGCGGACGACTTCGGAGGCGGCCGCCGTCTCGGGCGCGGCAGACTTCATTATTCAAAATAACAATATTTCGCCGGCCCGACGACGCCCCCGGGGCCGTTGATTAATGACCCTGCGCAGCCATTGACGCGCGTAAGTACGTTTTATTTGTTTGTCCGATAACGGCGCGGCGAGTAAAGCTCGCGCCGGGCCGTACCGCGACAGCATTACCTCGGCAAAGTCTTCGGAGACACGGTCGGACGAATCGTTCTTATCACCGTCAGTGTCCCGCTTAATCGATCCGAACGCGGTTTTTAACGTATCTCCGTAAACGTCCAGCCCCCCCCCCCTCCCTCACCGGCGCTCATTTTAAAACGCGGTGAAAATTTCAAACGGCCAAACGGTCGCCGGGAATCTTGTCGACGCAACGCGAACCATCACGATAGGCTACTCGGAACCGGAACCAGTAACGAGTATATGAGTACGCCGCGACCGCGGTAATCGATGAACGTACGACAGCGAAATCACCGCCCGGGAAAACATTACCGAGAAAAAAAAAATTAAAAAAAAAAAAAGACCGAAACAGCGGCACCGAATATTATCCACTTTTTTTTCAATTAGACGTCGTCCAGCATCGCGTATTATATTAACATAATATATAATCTCGTGAACCATAAACGCGCGCGCACACACGCTGCACCGGGTGTAACTTACGCGCGCGTTTGGTTTTTTTTTTTCCGTGTACCTACATAATATTTTTTCTACAGTGTGTGCGTACGCGATCGACCGACCGGCCGACGATGGCTGCGTGTGTGTGGCAAGAAAACGGCATTCCAAGCGGTCGCGCGCGCGCGCACGCAACCGAAGAGTGGATAAAAAAAAAAAAAAAAAACTGTTTTAATTGTCTGTCTCTCGGCGAGCATTAGAAAAAAAAAACCTCGCCCGCATGTGCGTGTATTTATCATTTATATGATAATAATAATATTTAAAAAAAAAAAAAAAAAAAAAAAATTATGATTCGCCGAGCGCGCCTCCACGGGTTTCGTACACACGGATCGCCGCCCCGTGCCCGGTCTTTTTTGCGTATCGTTTGTACACGAATTTTGACCGTTCCGGTGGTTACGTTAATCGTAATGCTTCAGTTAAATGCGCCGCGATAACAATATTATTACGACGGTGACGATAATATCGTAGGCGCCGCGATCGTCGTCGATAATATTGAGCCGTGCGCAACCACCCGGAGCGCTCCGACACTGAATCGGCCCACAGCGCTCCACGCGGTCGCGCGGCAAACAATTGTGCGATAATTTTTAATTTTTTTTTTTTTCCTGCGTTATAGTTTTTTCTCCGTCTTCTACGCACACAGTTGGAAGTCCGTATTAATTGACTCGTTGCCGACTATACAGAAACCATTATAATAACACGCATAATACATTTATGTGTGTATGCATATAGGTGTAGGCATATGAGGTTGGGTAGTTTTTTGTTTAGTTACGACGATGATGATGTCAATCTTGGTAGTGGTAAATTATTACTGTAATGATGCATTATGTCTATATACACAAAATTAAATTATTAAATGGTTATTTTACAGCTGTGTTGAACCAATATTGTGATGCTAATGAATATTCACGCTGTTATTAATTCCGTAAAAAAAGACCGACAAGGAACCTTATTGTTATTTTTATTATTTGTGTTAACCGTTCGAAATCCGCAACTATTTTTTTGACATTATCCGTATTGTTCTTTTCATCTGTGATGACATCGGTGCGGCCGCGGTGTTCCTTATCGACCACGTTAAAAAGCCAATTTGAGGTGATGGTTTTCTTAACAATTTTTGTGTGTCAATAACATTTATATCTGATAACATCTGTGATGGTTAATCAAAATTATGTTCCTTTAATATTTTACGGAGTCATCGCTAATGAAATCACTGAGTATACCATGGTTACAGAAAATTTTAGGAACGTATTATTATTTTAGTATTTCGTTACTATGAAAATCTAAACAGTCAAGAATGCACAGCAACTTTTCGGCGGTATAATTTTTCATTTTGTTTTCCTGTGAAACGACCGTTTGTATTCGTCGGTATTTCTGCGTTTGTGTCAGAGACGAAATAGCCAGCGATTAGAATATTACCTATAATTTTGCCTAAATAAAATATATTATGCTTCGAACGAAACACGTGCGGCGGAATCGGCCATTCTGCGCAGTATAACCTCTGCACAATGCGTGTTTTAACAATAATATACAATTCTCACCGCCATTTCCACTATACCGTCGTCGTCGTCGCAGGTCGAAAATATCGATCGTAGTGCTCGGGTTCCCCCCCCCCCCTTTCCTTTTTGCGTGTATTTGTTTGTACCGGGTATATCTTCCATTTTTCCTTGATTGTTCGTGAAAAAAAAAAATAGAAATTTGAAAAAAAATAATAATAATTATACCGAATGCATCATCTAATGTCGTATAATAACAAACGCTAAAGTCTCGATTTTTTTTTTATTTGGATAGCAGTAGTTTAATGGTGGAATTCATATTAAGGTGGTTGTTGAAAGCGATTCTTTTTTTTTATAAACATTTCAACCGAAATTTTGAATTATTTAAACAAACTTCCAGTAGTCCAGTTTCTCTTTTGAAAACGATTTGACTTCGTATGTGAATGAAACGTGTGTTTACGTATTAATATTGGACGTATAAACGAGTTGGTTTTAAAAAACAAAATGTTAAATCATAGACAAAATAAAAAAAAACCAAAGAATTGGACTAGAATTGATTGTTGAATTTCAGTATTTTACTCCGGCTTATTATTAGTTTGTAATATGTAAATATTCGTCCGTTGAAACGGCCGGGCCGTACCCCTCGCCTTTCCCCTTAAACGACGGGTGTCGGACAGTGGACTAGTGTACAATCAATTCTTACCGTTACGGGATGGCCGTTAAAAGGTCAAAAATAATTTTTCAAATTTCACGAAACCGGAGCAAAACTCAATGTTCCTGCCGCCTCAGCGGGGGCCGGACGAAAAATACGCGCGCCGCAATAACTGCGTGTGTCATCTCGTACGTTAAAAACAGCGGCCATTGCGGTATCGTCACAATCGCGGCCCGTCTGAAAAAATATCGATTGTCGTTGTTGTCGTTGTTGTTGTTTTTTTTTTCGCGTGTTCGCGTTGTACACACAACATTATACCGGGTGTTTCGCGGACCGACCTGCCGGCGGCGCACAATTGGAGGCGAAATAATAATAATAATAATAATAATAATACGCGAGCCCGCCGCCGTCCCCGGTTTCGGACGGACGGACGGACGGAAGTGACATCGGGAACGTGCTAGTTTGATTTATGCGGTCCGTTTCGCGAGCATTATAATAATGCACGCGTACGCTGCGCGTGTGCGCGGTGCGGCGGCGGCGGCGGCAGGGATATTAAAACCTCTAAATCATTTGCATGTACACGACCGCTACGCTCGCGGTGCATAACGTACGCCGTACACAACCCGGGAAACGATTGTTCGGCCTTGGCGCGGGCGTTCGCGACGGGCAAGAGGGTCTCCCGAGCAAATACTAATTCGACATTGTCGCACGACGACGACGACGACGACCGGGTTTATATCGTTTATAATATACGACCGGCCGAAAATTAGCGTAAAACACGCGCGTCTTGTGTTTTAATAACAACAATAATAATAATAATACGTAATGAAATGAGTGTTTTAATTTTTTTTTTCCACGCAATACTACGCCCAACAGCCGTAGCACGTAAAACGCGACGCGGTAATACCGCGAATTTCGTTTCGTTCACAATCGTTTCCGTTGCGGTCGTTGGACCGAACTTGGCCGACCACCGGTGACCGAATACATCAAATAAAACGGTTCGAAACAGCCTGATGATGGTCGGTGACCATTCCGTTGTGCCCATCGCCGTTCGCCAATAAGCAAGACGAGTGTATGATGCATTGGTACAAAACGATACGAATATCTATAACGGCAATGTATTCTTTTCACTCGCATTTATATCCGGACACGCGTTTCGTCTAGAACAACGTCCAAAATTCTGTACGAGATCCGGGCCACGCCTGCCCGAATGTATAGGGACATAACGCATACTGCATAAGGCATACAATATAGCAGTTGTTTCGGAAAGTAATGCAGTTGATGTTTTAGCGGTAGTAGGTACTCGTACATTATAGCCGGTAAGTAATGAAGACGGCTGTGCAATAGTGCAAGGCGTATAGTAATATAATATACTAAAGTAATGGAAAAAAAAAAAAAAAATACCGTATTCGTACCGTAATATACATAAAGCGGTGTGTACCACCCGCGTTATCGTGTAATTAGGATGGTAAAAAAACTAAACAAAAAAACAAAAAAAAACCACCTACACTCAATGTACACCGAGTAAGACGTGCATAGGTATAAATGTATAATTGAAATGTTTTCCTAATGTCTTGTTTACATTGTTTATTATTATTATTATTTTTTTATTGCTACTATCTCCTCCGGGTCGCGGCTTATTATTTATATTATTATTACTAATTCGCCAACGTTTTACGGTATCTCGTTAAATACAATATAATACAATAATATAATAAATAGGAATATAAATATAAAATATTTTGGTTTTATCTAAATAGGTAAAAAATTAGATTATCTTTTAGGTAATTGTTTCCATTGATAATCCCAACGCTGACGACGTTATACAATTGGGATTTATCATTTTGGAAATCTACTGAACGCGGTACACTATAAATTCGTACATTTTCAGACATTTTTTTTTATTTTTTTTTTATAAAAAAATATAAATGTGACCATTTCAAGGGTTTTTATTATTATTATTTTTTTTATTAAATCGGAAATATTTGTTTAATATTTCTGTGCGCGTACCTCCGTTTATTGAATATATAGTTCATATGGATAATATTATATTGAAATAAGAGGTAGAAATATTATTTATTTTTTTAAATTTAAATATTGTTTTCTAAAAACAAAACTCGAAAAATCTAGACAGAAAAAAAAAAC